TTGAAATATTTTAATGAGTTTGTTACTTATGAAATGTGATCTTTAAAATTATGAATTATGTATTGTTCCCTAATAGTTTAATAGTAGGGCCAAGCCCAATTTCAACATAGCACAAAAGAGCTAAATTGACATCACAGCCCAACAAATCTACACCTACAAACATAACTCCAGACTAATCACTAAGCCTCTATTTGACAAAAATACTTTTCAAACTATTTTTTCTACATACTCATTTTCAAAAACACGTTCACAAAATAAAATATTTTGTACATAAAATCAAAAATTTTTCCTACATTTTAAACACACATTCTTCTAAAAATCACTATTCAAAACTATTTTTTTTCAAAAGTAAGGGTCCGTTTGATTGTAAATGTGGAAAATAGGTGGAAAGAAAATGTATTTCAGGGAATTGAATTGCCTATAATTTGTTTTACTGAGAATTGTAATTAATTGTGTTTAATTGATATAATTTTCCACCTAGTCCATTTTTTACTTTGTTTTTCATGGAGATTGTCAATTAAATGGATAAAATTTATTAGAATTTGGGATATAATTTGTTTGGATTGCCAAAAAGAAAAAAAAAATCGAATTTTTTTTTTGTTTGTTTGGCTTTGTTTTTCAATTAAATTGTCAATTAAATAAATAAAATTTTTTTTGCCATTGGGTTTGGAATTTGTTCCAATTGCCAAAAAAAGAAAAAAAAAAATGAAAAACAGATTTTCACCTAAACCAAAACAAAAGCAAATTCCTTAAAACCAAGAAAGTGAGCGCGTGAGAGTGATCAAAGGAAAATGAATTCCTGGCAAATTATTGGCTATCAAACTGCCAACTCTTGAGAAAATGGAAATTTTTTTCCTAGTTCCATGGAAAATGAGGGTGATCAAACAGAGTCTAAGATTTTCAAACAGGGGCTGAATCTAAAATAATATCAACACCTTGTATTGCCTAGTAGCAACAAAGAAAATGTACCTGCAACATGAAATTAACCATTATTAATTTTCAACATTTTAAAACATGATTTATACTGGTTGTATTGAGTTGGAATTTTTTCAAGAGATAAAGATTATTTTTGAAATTATATTTCAAATAAAATGCAATTTCACGTCAATGTGCTTAGTTCTTTTCATGAAAATTTGAATTTTTATATAATTGAATAGCACTTTAACTTTCTAATTAAAATATAGCAAAATAGAAAGTCCATTAATTTCAAATAACAAACCTTTAACCATGAGACTTCTCTTATAGCCTCAGTTCCAACCACATATTCAGCAAGTTGACAGAGCTACAATAGATTGTAGTTGGGATTTCCAATCGACACGAGTTCCATACATAGTAAACATAGTTAATTTCCTATCATTCTTATCACCTGCTCTTAAGTAATACACTCGTATTGCAGGAATTAAAACACAATCCTAATTGTGAGATCATTTCAAATATCTCAATAACCATTTTAAAGCAATCCAATTATCAGGTCAGGATTGACTATAGATTTGCTTAGAGTACTAATAACATGATCTACATCCGGTCTAATACACACCATAGTATATATTATTGACCCTACAACATTAGTGTAAGGAACTTTTTTGTGTCTTATTATATTCATCAATAGGATACCAATCTTTACTCAATTTGAAATAACTAGCAAGTGGTAAAGTGAGAAATTTAGAATCATGTACAACAAATCTTGACAACACCTTTTCCACATAAGAAGTTGTTTCAAAATTAAAATATGTTTAGACCTATTTGTTTACAATGCCCATTCTAAGTATTCTTCTAATATGCCCTAAATCTTTCATTTCAAATTCAGTATTCAAAGATCTTTTAATATTATATTACTCATGTCATGTCCAATTAATAACATGTCATCCATATATAATAACAAATAAACAATCACATTATTCCCATCATTCTTTTTAAAGTGTAAGCAATGATCAAATGCACTACTAATAAAACCAAGAGATGCAACAAAAGTACCACAACTTTTATACTAACGTCTAGGTGATTGTTAAGTTTATAAAAATATGTTTCTAACAGGCACATATGATCATGTTTCTTCTTATCTATAAAGCCTTGTGGCTGACTCATATAGATAGTTTCTTCCAAGTCCCCATGCTACATTTATTTGTTCAAGTTTAAAAGTATAATGAGGAACAAATGCAGGTTACCATTAGGTACTCTTGGAACTAATCCAAATGTGCTCTAAGATGTACTCTGTGTAATCAAAACAACTGATTGCCCACTCCTTCCAAACAGACTAGAAGGAACATATCCAAGTTCGACCAATTGAGATGCAACGTCAACTGAGCCGAAAATGGAATCATGCAGACCCCAAGAACTAGGTTCCCTTCCCCTACCCCTAGCAAGGCCAGCTTCAGTGAAGAGTGATTGGTTCCTGATTACGCTCAAAGAATAACGCGGTAGTTGTAGCACAGGTTTGGGATGTCGTATCCACAAGGAGATGGAAGAATATTTAAAGGATCAAAAATATTGAATTGTTCTCTCAAATGTGTAATAAAATTTAATATTGAAAGATGAAATTAAAATCAATAATTCGAAGCAGTGAAGCGTCGGAATTCCCTCAATTTGATTGGATCAATCATATCAATTATT